TTAAAAAGATAAAAGTGAGATAACAGACATCAATTTTTCACTATAAATCTCTGGGTTTACTACAACATTAAAATTTCCAGTAAAAGCAGGGTTTTATATACCTGAACTCTAATGGCCTATTCTGAAAATATTTATGTCAGGAAAAGCATGGTATTTGCATGCCAAAAGCAATTTTAGTGCCAACGTTTAGCATTCCCTTCCCATTTAACTCCTTCTCACCTACTCACGAGTGCTAGATGCTCTGCCTAATGCCTACCCGCTGCACCTCCCCACGCAGCCTTTCGGAGGACTCCTTAGGTGTGTTCTAAGGCAAAAAGTAGAACACTTCTAAAAAAATACCATTGCACAAAATACTTGCCTGGTGGCTTAGGATGGCGTTTCTAGCAATGGTTTGAACCACTGATTCTACCTCCCTGTTTTGCATGTGAAACTACTCATTTCCAAGGGGCTAACTGCCTAACCAAAGTGAAAGACAGGGACAGAAGGACAGGAAGTTGGGCAAGATGGTGCAACAACTCAGAAGTAACAGGTCAAAACTTGCTGTAATTAGATGAGGTTTCTGGAGGTATGGGTAGTACTCCATTAGTTTTATACTAAAATTAAAATCGGAGCATGATTCTGAGAGCACCAAGTGCGTCGCCTTCAACATACGGGCATTTTGATTTGCTGAGAAGGGAGGGCATTTGGCACCTACCTGGCCGTACACAGCAATTGGCAGGACTGACGCTGCAGAAAAGTATTGATTTTACCTATTTACTCTACTAGAAAGTAAACTTATTTAGCTATAATAATACAGGCTAACAGCCTTACACTGTAGCACATGGAACTCTCAGAGGTACGGAAGCTGTTATTACTTCAGTTTTTGTAAACTGTAATTTCCTAAATTTAAGAAAGCTTTAGCAACGTAAGCTGATTTTCAGCAAAGTTTTGCTTTCTTCCCTACTTCATACTAGCATGTGCAGGCTGCAGCTTTTCAGGATAAGCCATTAACATAAATGTAACTTCTCAAAATACAGCAAACATGCAGGAGCACTACAAGCCTTTACTTGCATTATCTCTCAGGGCTCTTAGGTTTGGGGTTTTTTTGTTTGTTTGTTTTTATGGACTAAAATTAGATTTCAGCATCTGTCACCATCAAGAAAAAACCTCATCCCTGGCTCCCACATGAAAATATTGTAACCAATGCACAGTTACTGAACCATGATGCCTTAATGATCATTACACAAATCAACTTTTTTTTGTTTGAAATAACGAAATTAAGAATGTGCTTTCGTAATTACTTGAATCAGACTGTCAGGTTACAAATTTAATAAAACCTCAATATGATTGAATTGTAAAAGTAACGCATACCACACAAATTTATATATGTGTGGATTCTTTTCATTTTGACTTATTCAGGTGTGCTGATTAAATTTTAGTAAACAATATCGTTAGTATTGCTGTTCTACCACTAAAAAACAACAACCTGCGAGCAGACACAAAGCACTTGGTAAACCTTTCTGTCTTCCATTTGCATGTATTTTTCTAAAGCGCTCTTTTCAACATAAGCTAACAAAAAAATATGTAGACCTATTAGGCAGACAACTTGCAATAAAAATGTAAGATTTTAAATACTGACGTTAGGTGTTTTGCCAATTACAATTCTAAAACTCCCCAAAGATATGATGTATTCAAGCAATTTGAATTATAATATCTTCCTCAGCTCCTCAGTATAACCACAGTAACTTTTACAGTATATATTTTGAATTTAACAGAATTTGAATTTATTCTGCAGACAATATATCGATCCCTAAAAACATAGAAATTTCAAAAAATATACAGAATGCATACATTCCTATACAGGAAAAGAATTCAACATTTGAAGGAATCTTCTAGCTATGTCCCTAAATTCATTCAAACCCGTGTGCCAGATAGTCCCTTGTCTTTGGGAAAGCCAACAAGCCATCAGCAAAGTGCATTGTGAAACTACAAGTACGCAAATCATCACTCACCTAAGCCAGAGCACAGTCTCACTAATATCACTGCAATCTCTTCCTGCTCCCCGTCACCCCTTCTTTGCCCTGCGCTATGACGTCTGCCGCACCGAGCTCCTGTAGCCAGCTGGTTTGTTGAGCGTCAGGTCCATATGCAGTCCTCCATCAATCAGGTAACTCTTGCCAAAGGCACTAACGCAGCGCAAGGGAAGATGCTCATTTTTTACCTTGGCGCTACCTAAATAGAAACTTCTGTAGTGCATCATTTAATAGCTCTTCTGTACAAACTGCTCTAGTCAGCACGACATTATCTGCAGTCTCCTGGCTCAGGCAAGCCCAGCCACCTTGCAGATGCTGGCTGTTTCAACACCCAATCTAATGTTGACCCAAATCAGTTCCTTAAAAAAAAAAATAAATAGAAAGGCCCTCCAGCAAACAACTATCTTTGTCCACCGGCAGAGCTGATTTAGGTCACATACTGGTTTGTACCATAACTCCAGACTACACTCAGCAGTTAATCAAGTTTTTATATCCAAAATAAGAGCAGCAACGTTCAATTTTTGTGATGTTTAAAACCAAAACTGTTAACCAACGCATCATTTTCTAATACGTGTCCTCCAGACTTTTCACTATAACTGGAAGAGATTGTCCCAGGATTTCCAGTTCTGAGCAGGAAACCAATATCCCCAAATGAAAAAAAAACCAATGGACCTCTCGCAAGAGAGGTTCTCTTAAAGAATATGTCTAAACAAGCCTCTTTTTTTGTGCAAGAGAGACTTCTCTGCCCCAAGAAATAATTGTCTGTACCGCAGACAAGCTCCAATGCAGAAATTTTACAAGACAGGTATCTCCTTTAATATACATGCTTTGCTAAATATTTAAAATTTATTGATTGGCTGACTAGTAGTCAACTGGTTAGAGAAGACCCAACACATTCAGTTTACCTAAGAGGTTACTTCTGTGATGCAGCTTTCTACTACAAATGGTGCTTTGGCTAACTACAGACCCAAAAGCTTGCTTAATACATAAATCAACATCACATTGCTTAAATCCAGGAGAAAAATAACCTCTGAGAATACAGGCATAATCTCCATAATAAAAGGGAAAAGAGCTATGTGTTTGGTGATGTTTGTTTTCTACACTTGATAGCAACGTTTGTACAAGAATCTAAATTTTATACCAATACTCTAAAAAAAACCTGCACTGCATCCTCTGGAAGCTTTTGTGCTTCACTTTGATTACGTGTCCCTTTTAAAGTCAGCGTTGGAAGAGCTGTCCCGCCTAGAAATTTTAAGACTACACACTTAAATAAATACACCACCACACAAATCAGATCAGATCAAAATTACGTGGACCGATAGACTAGCTTCATACCTTAGTTTTGTAGAGAACTGCAGTGGAAAGGGGAAGGTATAGAAAACGGACAGTTCTCTAACCCCAAGTCTTGACATGTAAATAAAGACATCTGAGGAGCACACAGGTTGAAAGCTGCTGTAACATTCTATCATAATTAGAAACATTTCAAGAGCCCTGTAATTTCCAATCAAAATTACAGTAATTTCTGATATACAAGCCATGATTCATGACAGAATTTTTACATTCCATGGGAGATTATAGTGGCCTGATGTATGACACAGAGTACAGCACTAACATAAACAATTCAGTTTAATGTTTAAACAGCACTTGGTGTTTAGAATCCAACAATAAAAGAAACATATTATTGTAGAAATTATCACTTTGACAGTGATTGAAGGGTAGGCAGGCATGTGGCCTATAAAGCTGTAATTTTTACAGTCCACAGCTTGAGTTTAATCATTTTGATATAACATTTCCAAAATATCCCTTTAAATGCTCCTTACAACATATAACTTAAGAGACAACATCCTTTCTGTACAATGAAATGGAGTAAACTCCAAAACGTGAACAACGCACATGTCAAAAGTTAAAGACTGTTAAAAAGAAAACCAGCACTAAAATGCTGACGGCCCAAGAAAGATCGGTCTAACTGATCATTATCAGCTTTCCCTGGAAGATGCTGTATTTTTCTACGAAGCAATTTCAGAAAAGTAAAGGAATAGTGACTAAGTGGACTTAACATGTAATCTAACATGAAAATTCAGCATTGCAAGCATTTTCACCTTTCTTTTAACATTTCTTTCAAGCGTTGGTATAGCCGTGGTTCTAGTCTTTCCCATTTTTCTATATATTTTTCCTTTACTTACTTTTTGAGTACATTCTCACTTAAATCAACGCTTTTGTATACTCTGGTGATCTTTCTCAGAAGACATGTCACTTATGATAATCACACCCAACAAGTGCTTGCTGATTTCCCTCTCTTGCCACTAAACTTGACAGAAATTCTTCAGCTGAAGAAAACAGAGTAGGAAGCCACGCAACAAAGGCTTAAAACTGAATATGCAATATAAACGTAGGCACACACGCAGGTAACCAAGCAGCCATCATATTCCACAAAGATCATACACGTTTTCTCAGATGTAACTTGTATAACTGTAATTTGTTGGGTTTTTTTTGTTGTTTTTGACGTGGACGGTGCTGCCCTACCCCCCGAGCACAGCCTCACCAGTGGGTCTGACTAAATATTTTTGCAAAAACCAGAACCCCAGTGTGCCTTGTTACAGCGCATGTAACTGCAAAACATCAAAGCCTCGGGATGAATTCGGCAGCAATATATAGAGCTTGCCCACAGCTTTTGCCACGTCCACGCCAGCTAAGAACTGATGAACCAGATGCTTTCTGAGTTGTGCGAGACCCACGGGCGCGCAGCGAAGGCATCTCGCTGGCGGGGAAGAGGGAGGGATGCATCTCGGGAAGCCTCTTCTCAACCCTGCCTGGGCAAGGGTAACCAGAGGTTACCTTTGGACTCAGCAAGGAGCTCCGAGTTGTGCCACTGGGCTGGCGTGCTAACTCGGCCACTCGTTGTAACTCACACAGAAACAGAGAAAAAACAGGGCAGGGGGAGGAATAATCACACAGGACACGGAGGCTATTGCGCCCTGGGAACTTTACCTGGCTTTTGGTTGCCGCAACCTTTGCAAACAGTGCTTGAGACACCTTAGCTCTCTTCATTTCCTAAAAAAATCTCATCGTAAATGGAAGCATTAATGTTCATTGAATTATTTTCTGTTTTTCCATTCCTCTCTGTAGCAATAGTAGCAGTTTTGACCTAGAAAATATATTTTATGAGACATTTTTCATTATGAAAAAGTTATTTCCCTCTCTTAAAAAAAAACCCTCCCCAAGTGGTTCCCCTTTCCATTTTATTCCTTTTATTCAATCTTGCTCTGATATTCTTTCAGCTTTTCAGAGACTTAACATTATAAGTTATCCGTGGTTCAGGCAACTGGGAAACAAGAAAATTCAGCATATTGTAAAAGGTGAGTGCATCTGAAATATGAGTTATCATTAACTGACCACTGTGAATTTCATTGTCATAAAACAAATTAGGTGGAAACCTGTCAAACAGTCTTGTAGAGACTTGTGAATCCTTACATGATTCTTTGCCCCGCACAAATTAAGTGAAAATTGTAAGTGCAGCATAAAAGAATCTCTAATTAAATAGAAACCTGACAGATATATCTTGATTCATGCCTTATGTCTGGTACAATCAAATGCATGATAATATAGAAAAGTTGTGACTTTAGATTTAACTTTTTAAAATATTATCTATCAGTTTAATTCTTAAGCTGTTTTTAGGAAAGTGGTAATTTAGAATAATGCATATTTTAACCACTCACTCATGAAATCAAGATAGGCCTTTCTTAAAACTATTAATTCTAGTTGTATTTCACTTACATACATCACATATTTATTCTTCTCGCAGTCCAGGTTAAAAAAAATAACATGAAAACAAGACAGAATGATTACACTACTATGTCTATGCTGCACCTGCAGCATTAAGGAAAACAACAAAAAACACATCAGTAGTGACATGATGTGCAGAAGACTATTCTTTTCTTCATCCTCTGGAAATGATGGAAGTGATGTTTCAACATCAAGAATCATCCCACCAAGGTTACAGTGCAGTTTCTGCAATATCAGTTGACAGGTACAAAAAATCAGCAGGTACTCAGCTTATCCTGCAATACTCTCAATAGTTAAGGATAATGTCTTTCTTCAGCAGCTACTCTTGCAATGCTTGCCCAAGATTAGTGGACCTAATGGACCACTAATCCTAAAGTGGACCAGAGGAAAGGAAAGACTGGATTTCTGCCAAGAACCCACAAGGTGATGATGCAAAATCAAACCTTTAGATTTCGATTCAAATCTACTGGTTCATACTGAGGTTGTTGAGACCTGAATTAATTTAGCCATTCAGAAGTTACACGTCTAGTCTAAGTTAGTCATTCAGGCTACCTCTAAATCTAATGGACAGAGCTTGGCATTTCCAGAGGGTGATTCAGCCTACTCTTAAGTATGTGTCTAAACCCACACTTTCACTATCAGTTTAATCCAGTGGAAGTCAGCATCTTCCTGTGCTCTAAAGTCCCTTGAGGTTCAAAGGGAAATCATGACAACATGATAATTCATCTTCTAATCTCACTCTCTATGAGCTTTCATATGTCACAGGTCTCATGATACGAGAGTCAAAGGGTTTGGGTGAGAGACATACTCAGGCAAATCATCAGCCCATTTTTTCCTAGAAATGTCACGCTCAATTTGCGTTAACTATTCTCCACAGTGCTTTTAAAATAAAATAATCTAGCCCAGAAACTGGGAGCGCATGCCACTTTTGCTGAGCCTGATTTGTCTATCAGGCTTTTCAGGAGCTGTGCTAACACATGCCTATTAGCTGCAAGGGGCAAAACCCCAGCAAGAACAAGGTGTCCACACACATTTCCACCTGCTGCCTCCTGGCAGGCATTAGCACTTTCTGGTATCTGAAAACAGGAGTCCCAAATGAAAACAGAAATGAAGAAAAATCCCAGAATGTGGCATACAGTTTATCACATGATTTGCTTTCATCTGAAAACAACTAGTACTTTGCAGCAGTGACCTGGAGAGTGAGGCATTTCCTTTTCTGCAGTGTGACATTTTCCAGGCGACACCACAGTAGAGCATGGCCAAGCCTCGGCCAACGGCTGCTCAGAAACATTTAGGGCACCTGGCAGTGGGCAGCATGAGGAGCAGCACCATGAACCTCCTTTCTTCCCATTGCAGAGTGGGAAAAAGCATGCCTCACACTGTGCAAATCAGCATGGGGCTGCAAAAGCAGGTGCATCTCCTGAACACCATACGGTGAAATCATTTGAAAAATTACAAAATCAGTGGCAATTTTATCACCTTTAAATGAAAAGGATTCACTAAAAGGTAACTGACAACCAACGGGGATGTTAAATGTACAACTGGAGACAGGCTTCCCTGCTTGCGTGTAAAAATCACGCTAAGCTAAATTAGAAAATGAAAAAGTGATGGCTTTGTCAACACACCTTCTTGGACCTTGGGTTTAAATTTTGGCAAAGTTATTTCAGTCCTTTCCAAAGAAATATTTCTAACTTGTAACTAATCTTTGAGGGTTCTGAGGGGAGGACAAGAAAAGGAAGGTATTCGGATAGGACACACAAGTCCATGGTATCTTTTGGGAAGGAAACACTTTGCTCTTGTGATCCTGATCAAAATGCCTCTTTTCTGTAAGCACGCTGCCGTTTTTTATTGCTACTCAGCTTCAAAAGACAGCTTCATGTTGTAGCAGCACTTCATAGACCACTTAACTGAGCTGTGAACACCCAGATCATCAAAACACAAGACTCGCGCACCACGTTGGAGACATAATTTAAATAATGCATCTTGGTCCACACTTTTCAATGCCCAATTTAATATGGATATACACTTAACCCAGGGGAATTACTGAAAATCCTCATTCTGGTTGTCAAATCACATCTATCTTTACACAGGTACAACAAACTCAACAGCATCTAATATGTCACTGAAGTGAAAAAAAAAAAGATTACTCCTATTGCTTTCTGTTGATATTGAATTAGGAAGTGAACAATAGAAAACACTAACATCTGCATCAAAATGTCATATTAGCCCAAAGAGCTTCAAAAGTATGAAGTCTTAAAGTCATAAGATCACCATCTTTGGGGATTTATCAAGGGATGTTTGGGGATTATCAAGGGATGTTGTTCACAGTCATAGCCTCTCCCTCTCCAATTTACATCATTGGCCAAGAATAAAAATTCTTCCCCCGCCTCTTAACAATTTCTCTTCAAAGATCAGGTATAGACTGTGGCTGGACTAGATGGTCCATTGGTCTGCTCTGGTCTGATGAGTTCCACGCAATAATGCTAATTAACCTCTTGGAGAATATCCATACATAAAACTGTTTCATAATTTATACATAGCATCTAGGCTGTTGTGTTGAATTTAGAATTGAGTTCAAGACTGAGGCTGTTTGAAGCTGGGTTGAAAAAACACCCTCCTCCTCAAAAAAACCCAAGAGAAAACAAAAAAGCCCCCAACAGTGCAACTTCAGGATTTGGGAGAGGAGGTGGAAAAAGCATTCATTTTGGAGAGAAAAACAAAACAAAACATCATCTCTCATCTCATCCACACTTAAGCACAACCTCTCACCCCACCCACACTTATAGCCACATTTTCTGTTTAGGAAAGAAACCACAGATCAGCTAAATTTTTTTTTTACAGTAACCAAATTTTGCAAACACTAACTGAACAAGGGAGCATTATTTTACAAACATAACACACCGAGAATCAGAAACTTGTTTGGCCATCTTCCTATCACCAATCAATTTAGTCGTTTAGAAAGACTTGAGAAAAAAATAACACATCCATCCCCTCCTGGCCTGTCCAGATATAAATCTTCTCATCAAGTAAGACTGATCACAGTAGCAAGAAGTTCTGGATTAATTCAATTTTCCTAAACAAAGGACAGGCTGTTATAGAAGGAATAACCAATCTGAAGAGTTTTTCACAAACATGGAAGCTCATTTCTTCCCCATCAAAACTGAAACAAAAAAATCTTTTATAACACATTCTCATAAGTACTGTTTTAGCTTGGGAACAAAAATCTTCTTTAATCCTGGTTTAGCTTTTAATATTACATCGTACATTAAAATTCATAAAGTAGTTCATTCCAGGCAAAACAAACTACTTTTCAGTTCTGCTCTGCAAATAGCACAGGAGGTACAATAAATGCTGTTGCTTTCAGAACAGCTTTTATCAGGACAAGGTTTACTACTCCATTATTACAGTGGCGCCTGGAAGTGCAGTTATAGTTAAGTGTCAGGGTTTCCATTAACTCTCCTCCATGGTGGTTTTCACAGGGGGGTGAGAGGGTTGCATGTGTTATTTTGTTCATTTTTACTTTCATTAAAATGCAACTTGGCACAAAGACTATGAACCTAAATCTCTAATTTTGCAGACTTAAAAATAAAAATTTTGCTGGTGGTGACGTATGGCGTGTGCATGTGTTTGATCTCCAGGGCTCCACCGTCAAGTTTCACGGGAGCTGTGTTATCCAGAGTTCCTTGCAACGGAGGTTCACTGGTCCTCAAACACCAGCAAATCAGGGTCCTCCTCAAGATCTGTCTTTCAAGAGTGCCATCCTATCTCTGCAACCCAAGCTGGAATTGCTTTAGCATGAAGGAACTGTAATTTATCTGTAGTCAGAGGGAGACCAGGATTATATTTATGAAAATGAAGGTTTTTGTCAATTGAGTACCCAGAACCATGACTCATGCAAGATTTGCGGATACTTCTTAAAACATTGCCTTGTTAAAATTATATTCTGCTCTTGACGTTACACATACTCTGTTTTTACACAGGATGATGACAGGCCCCAAGAGTTAGCACAAATTTTCTTTGGGGAATATGGGTGGTGAGAAGGATTTCTTCCTCAGCTCTGCTGAAATGGAGATTACTTGTCCTGAGAAGGAAGTCTTCATAACCACAGGATGGCTAACAAGCTTTAACCAGCATATTTTGGAAAAGAAAATCTGAGACTTGGTCACCTGTCTCCATCCTCCTCCCAGGTTGTACTAAAGAGGAGGGAGTCCTCTTCCCCTCACCCTGAACTGCCCCCATGAGAGAGCGAGAGAGAGAGGCCATCCCTAGCACCTCCCTGGGGAAATCCATCCACCCTGACCAGAGCTCCACACTCAGCGTCCTCTGAAGTATCCCCACATCCTCTCGTTCCAACAATGTGTAATAGACTCATCCTCTGAACTTGACTTAGGGATACCCAGAAAGGACCTCTGTGCGGTGATCTGCAAGATGAAGGTGTTGAAGAGGGGAAAAAAAAAATATTTAATAAAAGAAATAGAACAAGAAATGACCTTTTTTAAAATTTCTTCTAGGTTGGAGAGGTTACACTGTGTCTCCCGATGGAGATGTTAATATTTATAAACACCACTGCCCCAGGAAAGAGCCTGACAGACAGGCTTCTGCCCCAGGAAGTGGCAAGATGAACAACATCCAAGGGAAAAATTCTTGTGTATGCCATCTCCTCATGCTCAGTCCGCCAGTATGGAAGAGAGTAGCAGACTTTTACAACTTGACCAGCTTAGAGGGCTATACACGTATCCCAAAAGCTCATGCATTAGAGGCTAATGATTTCAATAAAAAAAAAAAAGTAAGATTTTGCTTTTTTGTTTAAGTCAGAGAGAAAGGGAGAAGTAAGGGGGACAAAGAGCTTCTTAAAGGATTTCAAAAAAGAATTGGAAACAATCCAGATACATTAGCTCAAGTAGCAACTAGTAAGAATGCTGTAAAAATGAGATAAATTCAACACAGTTTCTTCTAACTCTGGCACCAGGGTTTATGCTTGGTGAGTTCCTACTATCCTATCAGACCTCCAAGGTCACACTTTCTGTTTTTGCATGCAACAGTATCCCAAATTCACACAGAACAAGCTCAGCTTCTAAATGGTTAAGTCTGCTCTACTGTCTGGCCACCAGTTGGCAACACAAAAATGCAAAATAGATCCTTTTCAGGATGTTTATTTTCACATCCTTCCGAAACTGATAACTTGCAATTGCAAAATAAACCTTCATGTGCGGCATATTAGCTCCCATTTTTCATGGTTTCATAGTTTAATTGTTTCAAATGTTACACTGGTCTAAAGACTTAATATTAAATATGTTGGCTCTTGTGTAAATTCTGTTGTCAGGATAAACGGTCTGTTTTGTCTTTCAATACTTATCCAAGAAGATCACAGCTAAGCTAGAAAAATATTATGCTGTATTCCTGTATAGTGAACTTTAAATAATTGCTTATAATAAATTTAGTAGTAAGGATGCTAGTGGTTTTATTTCCTTAGTATCACATATTCAATAAACTGTGGACATTTGGGGGGTTATCAGAGTACTAGTTTGCATTAATAATTTTGCAGTATCCTGACTATAATTCATTTCTGCTATGATTTGTAAAGTTATACTTGCCAGTGCAACAACAAGAATAATTTCATTATTATTTCTAGCATTAAGTATTGTTACCAACACGGATATTTCAATTTTCAAACTTAGGGCTCACACTTAGTTGCAGGTGGCAAGTGCGACACGTGTTTATAGGTGGGTAATTCTGGCAACATGTAAAAAGGTCGCACAGAATCCCAACTCAAAGGTTTCTACATCCTCAGTCCATCCACTAGGTAAAGTGCATATCTTTTGCTGAATGACAGAGCACAATATAACAACTAGAAAAAGAACTGTTTTGTTCTGTAGACCGCAGGTATTAGTCTATAAGGTTTCCTTGTTAACCTGTTTTCCTTTCAAAAAGGACCAAACCAAAACCGTATGCTGTTTCCACTTTGAACCGTCGCGATTAAGTTAACTATATTCCTGACTCCCACTAGAAAAATGAAATGTAATTATGAACAAGAGCACAGTAGAGACAGATAGATCCCCTGCCTCCAACCCCTAAATTTGGACTTACAGTATATTTTGTCAGTAAAGAAAACCCCTAAGTCTCACTTTCTTTCTGGCTGCAAGGGATTCATACGGTTTAAAGTGTGAATTAAAACCAATACAAGGACTACCTCTGACTCGACATCCTTCTGGAAAGTCCTGTAATTAACTCTGTTCTTTGGCTGTGAAATTGCCCAAGACCACTTGAGACAGAGTGAGACATTACCTCGGCAGAAAGAGATAAGTTAAGAGGGAGGGTTAGCCTTCGCTCTGAATTACCTGGGCTGTGGGAGCAGGTACAGATATTAGAACAAACTCAATTGTTATTTTAAACACAGTTATCTATATTTAACTATTTCCCACTAAAGCATTACTATGTACATAGATTCTCATCTTTTATCTTGAGGAGTATCTGTAGTGGATTTCACAGACTAAACTCGGTTAATGATAACAAAACTAGACCATTAGCACAGTCTGTTCTTTCTGCTAAAAATTTTTTCTCTTCTTGTGAAAAGTACTGCAGCAGGTCAAAGTGATCTTCTGTCCTCCCTTTTCCTACAATTTTGTTATTCGTTAATTCAGTGTGGTCCTTAGCATCCATTAGCTGCAAGAAAATTAGAAAAGTAACCTGGAGGAATTTATAGCGTTCAGAATGGGTATGGAATGTAGTCATAGGCACATGCTTGAGCCTGGTTAGTAAAAAACTGCTCTGTGTTTATACGCTCAACCATGACAAAATTCCCACAATCCCAAAGCCTTGCTTTGTAGACCAAATCTGGACTGCGTATACTGCACAATTCCCACATACCCGAGGATGAGTTTGTTTTGTCCTTGCATAGGTACAACCTTGAGCCACAGCAATGCGGAGGATTTCAGAAAAGGTACATTGGTTTTTGGAGTGTTTCATTCACAACCGTGTTTCTTCTTTGTGGAAATACTCTGCATTCCTATGGCTCACACCTATATTTCTCACGTACCCTAAAACCAGCTTCAGAGTTTCCTTGACAGACACAAGGACTACACCATTGAATTTCTGGATCCCACTCTTTCAAACTTTATAATTTGGGGTGAGTTAAACCAATAGTCCCACTAGATCGTACAGGAATCAACAGGAGTTTAATTTGAACAAACACTAAATGAAGCTTTAGTGAACATATCCCAATCTTTCAGAGCGATGGATATAGCAAGTCTGTTATGTTATCCCGTTGTCAGTAGCTCGACCTGGTGAAAGTGTGCCCAGCATTTTGGGATGGAGTGCTCTTCCCCCCATCACTTTAGTTTTAGCTGTTCATTTTCTGGAAGATAATTTTTAAGGCAATACTATGTACTCATACTTCTGCTTTCGTTCCAAATCAGTTTAGTGGTCTAAAGCCTTCAAAATCCCTATTTGAACCTCTAACATTAAAAACAACACCTGAGAGTTATAGGTGAAAAAGACAGCTAAAAGCCAGCATGTTCCAGGCCCAGTAAAGCTCGTATCTCAATAAAATGAGCAAAAAACCTGTAGGGGCCATAATGGATAGAATTTATCTTAAAACTAGAAAATAGGTAGTAATAAACTGCTACTATCATCCATTATATTTCTTAAATTTAATTTGTGATATGCACTGCAAATAATGATTCTACGAGCATTTAGAAAATGCAACAGTAAAAGCTTTCTGCTTTTTAAGACAGGTATCACCCAGCAGGACAGTGAGAAAGCACAACGAGCAAATGCAGAAGACAGAGAGAGTGGCTTACTTGTGGAGGCCGGCTAGGCGGTGTGCTTATGAGAGGTGCGGGGCCCATTGCAGAGGCTGCGTTCAAGCTCCTTTCCCTTTCGTCCTGGTAAATTCGATCTCGTTCGGCTTCTGGCAGCTGCAAGAAGTTCTGCATAGCCCGAAGGTTTACCAGTAAGGACTGCGAGGCAGTCTTGGGATCCTCTTCCTTGCGGAGGATTTCTGAGAGCAAGCCCTGTAGGGAGGGAGGGGAAAAAAAAAGTACACTGGAGAGTTAGCCTAGGTGAGTGCCCGTAAAACTGTGCTCTGCAGAGCCACTGCTTATCAGTCCTCTTTCTTCTTTCCACTGGGCTGAGAACGAGAGCAGCAAATGCACTACTCACTCCACATAGGAATATATTATTGGCAATTTAAGTAGCAGAGAAGAGAGCCTCAATTGTACCCTTAATTTTATTAAGCATCTGTTTTACATACAACATAAACTGAATCTGCCTAATAGGTCTCCTTCCTTTTATTGGCTTAACTTGCCATGAAATCCTTCACAGTCGCCAGACAATCACAAGACGTTAAGAAAAGTGAAATACAGATAGTCCAGAGGCATGACACGGGGGTGTTCTCAGGCTTCCCAGACAAAACACATAGCCAACCCAAAGAAACACTTTCCACATTTCTAGCAACTTAAACAGCTTTATGAAAGGAAGTGATATTTCACAACTAATCTGAGACGATAAACTCGCAACATTTCTAAAGTACCGCTTATCTGACTGAGGTCCATATTTTTTTATAAGGCAGTATTTTGGTTTGAGAGTTGTATATTGGAGTTTAACAACAAGTGAGGAAACTCACTGTTAGATGCTCCCCCTCCTCCGCCTTTCTCCTCCTCCCTCCATCCCCCTCTCCTCACCGGGACAACCCTAATCCTCACCCGGTCCATCGCCTGGGTTATTTCTTTAAGCACCTGCTGTGCAGGTCCCATTTCCTAAGTCCGTTTACCATTGCCGTCCTTTGACCACTTTCAGAGTCCAGCAACGACAGATAAAAGCGAGCACTGGGGAAAGAGAGGAAAACAGCATACAGGGCATCCATAGCAGTGGGCCAGAGATGGGCAGGCTGCAGACGACAGCACGCTGCCCGCAGCTTGTACAGAGCGCACCAGGTTTCCTACGTAATCATTGCATCTCGGTTCTCAGCAACGGAGCAGGCTTGGCGGTCTGCGACACCTAATTACTCTAAAAGACGAAATATTTATGAACCTGTGAGTGGAACTGGAACTTTAATGTCAACAGGTTCTTGAAATCTGCCCCCCTGCCAAATTCTCCTTTTAAATATGCCAGGCATACAAAATGCTCTGCTGTCTTGAAGTAACACGGCGGTGATAAGAAAACTAACTTTTGCAAAAGCAAATGTGAACTTCTTTTTAGAATACTGTTGCCATGCTGGGACAAGGAGAGGGTTGGTATGGCAGGCTTTTATTGCCAGTGTAACAAGAGAACATCGATGTGATTTTAAAGAAATAACACAACCCAATGCTTCTTTTCCTAAAGAACTGTTGTGAGTTATTTGGTATAATGCAGGGGTGAATGGGGGGGTGGGGGGAGCAATAAAAAGCTAAAACCGAGAGAAGCAATCCTGACTGAAGTTATCTATTCCTAAGGGAGTGCTACAGAAGACTACAGCCCAAGCTTCAGCTCCTGCCACCTCTGTAGGGAAGTCTGATGCTCACCTCTCCCAAAGGTCCTATCCTATCGGGCAAAAGTACCCTACGAAGGTGCTGTGGCAGAGGTACTCTACTCTTAGGCAGCTGTGCTTAGGCAGGGTCAGAGCCCACCCAGTCTGGCCCTGAGCTCTGCATTTGCCCCGTCACCCCTCCCTCTCTCAGGGACCATGAGGATGGAGGTGCTAACCACTACACTGGGGCCAGCGTGGTCCTCATCGCCCTGTCTATACCTGCACATGTAAGAGGGAAATGGGATGGAAAACACAAACCGCCTTTCCAGCACTAAGCATGAAAAATAGTTTAGAGGAGGATTTAAAAAAAATAATCCTGGGGGATACTTTTTTACCACTATTCTTCATCCTTGCTCTTTTATGGTATCCAGGCGGAAAGTCCTCAGAAGGTAAATAAGTCAGTTACAGACAAAAGTGGTATTTGGGTGGAATATAAGTTTTTAAATTTTTCTTAGTGATTAGTCTAATAATAAATTTACTTATTAGCAAAGATGGAAATTAAATTTTTGTCTATCATTTTTTTTCTAAGCACTCACTCAACCCACAGTTACTATTTGTCAGTGGTAGGGTTACACAACCCATCCTCCAAGGGGGGCAAAAAATGATTTTGTGCCACTGGAGACAAGGCAAAGCTGTCTACAGAGCACAGGATGTATGATGGAGGTGTAAAAACATGTGATTTCTGACTGCTACTGTGCTGAAAACAACTGCACCAGAATTAGAAAGAAGAAAGAAAAACTAAACTCAAGTGGACTGATCATTGGCAGGAGAGGAGGCTCCTTACTAACAGCCAGCCCACTGTCAGCCACAGCAAATGTCCTTGAAAAATACTTTAACCCATAATGGAAAATATTTGCTTGTATAAGCCTTTGCCACATAGCGGGCAGCTAAAAAAAGCAGAAAAGGCTGTTTTTCTTGTGTAACTTTTTCCCCCTCAGTGAAATAAGTAAACAAAGAAAATTGGTTTTTGTATTTTTCATGGGTTTGTCAGTATAGCCATTGCTGCAGGACACCTCTTGGTGATTAGAAATGCTATTAAGTATTCATTCCCCTCTCCTACCCCCATCACTGCCATCACTCTTTGCATGAGCTGGGAGCAGACCAGAGGACACAAATGTGGAGAGAGGAGGGGAGATGAGTGGGGAGAAAGCAGGGAGGAGGTGTTTGCTTCTAGGGGCTTTGAACCTAAAGGTCAAAATATGTGAGGAAATAACATGAAAAAAAAAAAAAAGGTGTAGTACCAGGTGCAGGCAAAGTCTTACAATACAGTTTGACTGCTTCAAATATTACTTCATTGCTACTGCTTCAATTTTCTGAGCACCAAACTTCAGCTAAAGATTGTTAGGCAAGATGTAGAATGGGAAAATCCTGAAATTGTACCTCAGGTTGCATAAAAGCTAAATGCTGTTTTGCATAGGGCTTACACACACTGCCAGGCCGAGTCCTCCTCTCTGCTCCTCCCTTGTATTCTTTTCGCACTGGAAATGTATTTTCTTAAAATGTTACCAGGTCCCATTGAAAAAAAGAAAGTTTACACGTCATCACAAGTATAATTCATTACTAATTGCACAAAAATGTTCAATAAATATTATCAGGGCTTTCAAAAGCTAATTATGAATTCTTCAAAACTGGAGATAAATGAAAGTGTCTGCCAATATGAACAAAACCACTGCCTGTCTGGCCCCCAGTTCGTCTCTTCTTTGAACATAATCACTGATTCAAATAGATTTTATCAGCCTGATAGAACTTCAAAGCTCCCAGAAGAAAAATGCAATTTGCCCAAACCTCCCCAAAACACGCAGAACATCCCTGAATGCTATCCCTCTCTGTTGCAGGGTGCTCCCATCCCATGTCCAGGTGGAAGATTATTTGCAAGCTCCACCCACGAGCCTGGATCCCTGCCAAGTAAGTTACAAGCAGACACATTTATCTATGTCGCTTAGTAGCAAGAGGAGAGCTGTCATGATAGTGTAATAGCACCTTTTTACCTTTTATTCAATAGTGATATGGATAGTGTGCTTTTTCTTAAATTACACTACGAAGAATTATATGAATACAGTGGCAATTTCTGTTATACTTAAGCAGGCAAATTTCTCTCTACCACATAATTTACAGAACTCAAATTCAATAAAACATTACATGATGGTCCATTACTGTTATCAATTTTGAATAATCCATCTTCATTTTTCATTTTACTGGAAAATAAAGTGCGCCAAAGAGAAAGTGGAAGCAAAAAAAAAAAAAAGTGCCTGAGAAGGTGGTTTGTGTAAACTTAGATTTTGTTTCAAAATTACACGGAGCCGTTTACTGCATCCAAGCGTTCTCCCTCGAAATAGCAATTGCCCAGAATTAGCATGAGCACAATCCTAAATACACAGAACTCTTCACATATGAGAAAAGGCATTATACAGGAACGAAAGGCAATGTATCCTGGCAGCTAAGATTTTAAACAAGCATGGGGGTGAAGTAGAAAGGAGGGGGAGAGAAAAGGTATCTGGCAGAAACACTGAGAAGTACTCAAAAACCTTGAGATGAAAAACTGTCACTGGTGGGAAGAAGAAAAATGACAATAGTCAGACATGGCAAAAGCAGCAAAAAGCACTCCCCCTCCTTTCGTGAAGCTGGAGCCGAGAGGTCACCTCCGTACAGCAGCACCCGAGTTCATGCAGCAAATGTTATGGTTGAAAGCGTACACAAACAGAGACAGGCACCCCCGAGTTACAGTTCCAACCACAACCATGACTAACACGATTCCTTGCTCGTACGTACATGTCACCCTGCCATGCACCAAGTTAAGCTACGCCTTCAAGTCAAATGTCAGACTTGCCTGTGGGAACCCAAGCTTTCCGTTTCCTGACTCATGTTTACATTTGCAAACCCACGACAGAAATGGTAGAGGAGTTTGTTTATTTGTTTAGGGCTCCGAAGGTGGTTCAGCCGAACAAACGCCGCTGCTCCGCTCCAGCTCTCTCAAGAAGAACAAAACGGAGTCGAGAACCTCCCAGTTCAACCGAAAATTTGGCGGGGCAGGCTGAGCCTCTCTGCCGGTGGGAGGCTGCGGCAGAGGCTGGCGTGGGGCACCGTGCTTTGGGGGGCTGCCCCGACACATGGGTGCCGTCACCCCGCAGCTGCTCGGTGCCGCCCGGGCTAGTGAGCTGATGACAAATGCCATTTTCTGACCAGCAAAGCACAGGAAAAAACTGAACTCACTCTTTCAAGAGAGCGGAGGCGTCTGCACAGCGCACTGACATCAGCTGGAAAAAATACTACGTTTACTAATTCAGCTGAACGGCAACCGAAACATAACCAGCTCAATTTACTGAAATTACCCTAGCAAACAGAGAGTGGTACACGCATTTGGTAGCCACGCTTGAGGGGGAACTCGGATCTGCTAGCACAAATCCTGACTCAACAAACTTTTCCATGGTGCACTACAAAGAGGTGCTAACAGGATTCAATCTGTTTCTTTGCAGCCAGTGAGCTGGAATGACAACTGCTGAAGGACAAATAACACTTCGGACCCCACTGCGCTCTGAAGCCTTCCTAGAAGGACCACTGTGAAATTTCTCATGGGGAGAGGTGCTCCATCCTCCGAAACCACTTCTGCTCCCGACAACAATTGTTCTATTGTGCCTGTACAGACGCTAATTTTCATTCAAGTTATAGCTTTCTGGACTCCTCTTTGATTAAACTTTGCAAGGCACATTCCTGAGAACTACACATTTTTGAAACTACCATTCTGAAGTTAAGGGTAGGGGGGAAGTTATCCAAGAGGATATTAAGGACACCCTTTCAGTTTTCTGAGGTGTGGCTTAGGGGTTTTTCTGCCTTATAAATAGATGATAATTTAAAAAAAAACAGACACCCTAGTTTTCAGAACATTCTTTCCTTTGAGCTGGGAGGAAGCAGATATATTTCTAGTTAACATTTTTCCCCCAAAAGAAAAATTCTTGGAAATTAGGGCCAAGTGTTGAATTACAACGCTAAGCTGGCAGAACACCCTCTTCCCACCTAAAAACCCCACCAAATTCTGTATTCATATTGCAGAGCACAAGTCTGTAAAACAAGAGGTGCCAACATCTTCAGCCAATTCAACCAAAGTCCATTTTTATTGCCAAAACATTAAGCTAAATTACTCTTATAGTTCACTTCCTTCCTTAACTTTTACGCGGAAAACAAATCTCTCCCCTCATCTGAGACTGTATCTCGACGTTAGGGTTTTTTTGCACAGAACTTCTAACCGATTTCAGTGAGATCTTCTGCCTTCAGAAACTGATGGCATGATATGGTCCCTGGACACGGCTCAAATATGATTATGACAATTTCAAAAATGTCAGTGGTAAGCCTGAGTTAGCTTTTTATCTCAGAAAACAGTAGATGAATTTAAACAAGCATTTTCACTTGCTCTAGCCAAAAAAAAAAACACCCCAGACAAAAGATATTACGTCAATATTAGAAAATAACATCTAAATATCATCAGTTATTAAAGTGCTGCCCTAATTTTAGTTAAATGTGATGTATCCTTGAATGACCAAAGATAAATTCTGGAGTACAGCAAGCAAAACAAATTTAAATGCTTTCTTATAAGAATCACAGGTGTCTCTACCTGTATTTATAATTGGACATTAGCTGTTGCTGTGGGTACAATTAAAGATTTTCAGTTTTGCAAAGGTGAAACGTGCCTACAACAAACTCCTCTGGATTTCAGTGGGGCTTCGCTTCATATTAAAAGTATGCTGAGATACTTCGTGGCAACACTGAGACTAATATTGCCTAGGCTCCTAGTATTTTTCCTTTCTGTTCCCTATGTTTGCCACAATACATAACAAATACTGCAAAAGCTCATGTAGCTAACTGCAAATACTAATTTGACTAGCTAACACAATTTCTAGGATATAGGGATACTACTCTGTGTTCTTTCAAGTAGATTTGGTTGAAAATTGCCAAAATATATTACATATCTATTTCATATCTCTTCACAGGATTTGTTTTCAATGTTCATCTTGGGGTTTCCTCCCAGTTTTGGGTCACTTTGAATACATTTTACCAAGCTGGTTAAACACATTGGCTGTGGAAGAATTGAACTTTAAACAAATATTTAATAACATTTGTAGTTGTCCCAGTTTCAGCTGAGATAGAGTTAATTTTTCTTCCCAGTAGCTGGTATAGTGCTGTGTTTTGGATTTAGTGGGAGAATAAGGTTGGTAACACACTGATGCTTTAGTTGTTGCTAAGTAGTGCTTACACTAGTCAAGGACTTTTCAGCTTCTCATGCTCTACTGACTGAAAAGGCTGGAGATGCACAAGAAGCTGGGAGGGGGCACAGCCAGGACAGCTGACCTGAACTGGCCAAAGGGATATTCCATACCATATTATGTCATGCTCAGTATATAAACTAGGAGAAAGCTGGCCAGGGGGCCGCTGCTCGGGAACTGGCTGGGCACTGGTCAGCAGGTGGTAAGCAATTCCATTGTGCATCACTTATTTTGAATATTATTTTATCATTATTATTACTATTATTGTTATTATTTTCCCTTCCTTTTCTGTCCTATTAAACTGTTTTTATCTCAACCCATGAATCTTACTTTTTTTTTTTTCCTTCCCAATTCTGTCCCCTATCCCACTGGGGGGGCGGTGAGCGAACGGCTGTGTGGTGTTTAGCTGCCTGCCGGGATAAACCATGACAGTAGTAAGAAAAATATATAGTAATCAGTAATCGCTATTTGCACTAGAAATCTGGTTCTACAGTTGCATTCACCACATCTCAAGACCATCTTCTTATACTGTGTCATATAAATTCAATGTCCAGTCAGAACCAATTGTCCTTGTATTTCAGGTAAAAAATATTGTTCATGCACAAATGACAGAGACCAAAAGCTGTATGCAAAACTAGCTGACAAAAAATGAACAAATGACTTAGGAGGGGGAAGGAAGCTGAGAGAAAACAACCTGCTTTTAGGCAAGTCTGAGAAAGAAGTAAATATCTAATAAACTATTTATTTTCTGAATTACTTGCTTGGCTTTTTGCCAAGGTAAGATGGCAGCTGCAAACCATGGTAACTTGAAGCTACTATTATTATTTCAATACTTGATAGTATCAATAGTTAAAATATTAAACATTGCATTAAACAAAACTCTATGTGACTTATTTGTAAGTATAACAACTGACACTGCCTGAACCTAACTTACATAAATAATCCTTGCATGAGTTCATGTATCCCATGAAATTTGGTGTGAAAGACCCAGATCTTGAAAACCTCCTCTGCTGTTAAGAGGAAAGACACACACACACACACAGAGCTTTACAGAGAATACACACCATGACTCTACTTTCTTTTAGCTAAAGGAGGATGTAAAAATTTTTAAGGCAATAATAATTCAGAACAATTACAAATGACATGCTGATTCAAACCTGGTACCAGTGCATTTGAAACAGAATTTTTATTCTCTAAGCTATGCAGGGAGAAACATCAACATTTCAAGAGAAGCCCAAATTATGATTTTTTTTGCTATATTCTACAATGGACAAATATTTGTTCCTTAAGTTTAAAAAGGTGGAATCAAAACAAATTTACCTACATCTTTTTTAAATATTTCCTTTAAAAAAAATCCTGTTTTATTTTCTGTTAAAACAGACTTCTAAAATTTGGAGATCTTATTGTTTGCATTGGATATACTGACATTTCTTCCATAATTTCTGCTTGATTAAATTCCATGCAACATGGCATTAAGTTAAATTCCTAGAGCAGAATAAATTATAACAGGGTTAGCTTCTAAAACAGGTGTAAAAAATAACACATTTTAGTGTTACTTATCAGCTTTGCTAGGGCTAGTTTTTTCTGCATTGAAGAGCTGAAGTATATGTTCCGACGTGGACATCGGCAATCTCAGCAACTACTGTTTTTGCAAGAAACTACAAAAATACTTGAAAGGAGTAGGTGGTCTAAAAATAAAGCTTTTAGTTTTCAATCTTTTCAGAAGCCTGAAAAGATGTTATTAAGACTTTCACTAGAAAATAATAAAAATAAATGCAAACAAGAATAAAAGACCATCTCGGGTACACCTGTGAAAGAAGACAGGTTGTTCAGTGCATGCATGTGGTCAGTACGGATATACCTTTGCAACACAAAAGGCAATCTGTTGGGTGACTTTGTGAATGGTTCTGCATAGAGCTGTTCATGTCCTTTCCAGGGAAGATTAAGATATTCATAAACCATCACAACTGGAGAGGAACCAAGGCAACTGTAAGAACAGCGGGTATTGCCACAAACCAATCACTGAAGATTTCTTTACTGTATCAACATGGACACTGGTCCTGCAAGGAAGCGTGGTTCCTTCACAGGAGCTAAGTGACAAGGCAGAAATGAGGAGAGAGACTTAAAAGGTGATCATTACTAAATAGAGAGAGAAAGAAGGGACTCTTAGATTTAAAAAAAATAAGAAAAAAGACAACTGACCTGAGTTCGGTTAAAAGCCACACGTGCAAATACTGCCTGTGAGATTCCTGCTCGTTTCAGTTCGTCACGGACCCACTGGTAGATTTCGGAAGACACCTCTGTGTTTGTTGAGACCTGCTGCTCCAACGGCTTGTTCATGGATCTACTGACAGGAGGAGGATGGTTCAAGTACTGTTGGTTTAAGGACTGCTGGGCTAGAAGTCTGTTCACTGCATACTGCTGGTTCAGCAACTGGGCCATTACCAGCTGCTGATTTACCAGCTGAGGGCTAATGGGAGTAGATACAAGTCCAGGGTGCAGGTTTGGAAGCGGGGTCCGAACTGATGGTTGACTACCATGAGAAAGCTGAACAGGGGATGGAGGCTGTTCGGCTGTGTTCCCTGGGACCGGCTGCTGACCGAAGTTGACATGGTTGGCACCTTGCTGGGATAGTTCAGAAAGGCTATCCATCTCAACTACGGTGGAAAAGAAACATTGAAAAAGCCAACATAAGACTGAAATCACAAACTTCATGCTCCTTGCAAGATGTGCTAATAAAAATAAATGTAAAATGGCACATTCAGGTTCAAGCTTTCTGTACTCTACAGCCTAGATCAGCAGGCCCATAACATCACTGTTGCAGCTATTTGCCTTCAAAATTTACCTACAAATAACGCTGTAGTCAATATGTTTTAAAAAAACATCCAACAAACTGCCCATCATCATCACCGGGCCCTTGGAGGACCCAGCAGAACATCAGAGGCAAAGCCACATGCTGGAAACGACATACGGCAAAGGAGAAACTTCCTAAGAGTTCTGCAAAGGCACGACGCAACAGAACCACGAGCACGCGGCTGCAGAGCGCAGCCCTGCAGCGATGGATGCAGGGGACTTCAGACAAGGCAGCGAGCAACTAGAGAGGGGGCAAAGATGAGAGAAGGGAAACCACTCAGTGCGCTGCAGAAGATGCAGGTGAAACGGTGAGTGCATCTGCGCAAAGGGTAAGGAGGGCTGTTATGGGAAAGCGCACCCCGACCAGAGAGAGAAGCCCCCGGTGACTGATTTTGTTCCTCCCGTGGTGCCCCTGCCACGACATCTGCAGTTCCCAGCCACTGGAAATCTGTAACAAGCAGGGTGGGGTGTGGACCTCCCCATGCTCTGCTAATTTCTAGATGCTGCATCAATTGTATAGGACTGCTAGGAACTAGTATAATTTATGTAAATTACACAGATGGGCTGCTTTATCTTGCAACCATGTATGCATGGTTTTTTCAGTGACTTGCAACATGGTTGATTTTTTTTCTTATATTAACTCATCTGCCTTGACACACCCTCCTTTTTAATTAACACCACAGTTTTTTAAACTACAAGAGTTCTTCCAGCTCCCCTCTTGTGCGTGATAAGACAATATAAAATAACTCTAGGCTGATGTAAAGGAATCTCCTTTTTATCAATGTATGTCACTTTTTCATTTTAAACAATCTCAGTTCTAGTGCTTTGGCAATGCTGGTCTGGAAATAGCTTTGAGAAAATATGCTTTATTTAAAAACCAAAACTCCAGTATCTTCACAAAAGTGCTGTAGCAATGTTTTTCTTATACTAGTAAAGGATATTTTTAAAAAAAGTCAGTGTCTGAACTTTTCATTGTAATTATGATCTTCACTAACAGTCATTCAGTGCCAGACCACCCTTTCCTCCACAGGGATGAGAGCTAGAAGAAGAAATCGGCACCTGGATTCGCACCCACAGCCCCTCCTTCCCCCTCTGTCCTATCATGGGCAGAAATTAAAAAAAAAAAAAAAGAAAAGAAAGCGGGTTGTTCTGCAGAGAGGTCTGGTGCCCATAGCCTGGATCAGTCCACCAGCAGAGCACCCACTGCTCCTCACACATGTGGCTTTGAGGGCAGTGTGGCCTCTCCCCCCAGCATTGGGCTACACAGGAATATACACACACACACGCATGCACGCACACACGCATGCACACACGTTTCCTGTGCACTGGTTTCATTGCCCCCAAATGAATGGATGGTGAACCTGTCTTGGCAGATCATGTAAAGCAAATTTTGCAAGGGTTGCCCCACTCAAGAGTGCTGCAGCAATAGAGGTGGGAGAGGATTCTGCGGAAAGGTGTGTGTCGCCCCCCCCATGCAGGCGATCTGCTGCCTTGGACCACCTGAAACCAAGTGAAGTCTTACCACCAACTTCGGTGGTCTCAGAAGAAGGGCTCAGTGCTGCACAGAAGGTACAAAGTAGATAAAGGAAAGAAGCTGCCTTTTTTCACTAGTGGAAAGTAGAGATCAACCCAAGTGGGCCATTCACTTGGAACAGTAATTCAAGCAATTATCACAAAAGTGATGCATTGTCTTCATTACAGCCTTAAGCTATAAAAGGCAAGGAACCTGTTTGGGTAGATGAATGATTTTGCTTCAAATACCAAAAGCTAAGTCAAGCTCAAAATTCAATCCAAATTGAGGTCCCATTTCTTCATTCTGTTGAAAACTACGTAGAAATTTTCTGACATAAAGTGTTCAAAATTATCTTAACAGGTTTAAGAAACAGTTTTAAAAAGGGACAACACAGAAAGATAAAAGGTATTACAGAATTAATATGGCCCACTGATAGATTTTTTTCCTCCAGTAATTTACTTGTGCTTACTACAACAAAGAAACAATTGTCATAACAACTATTTGTCAAAATGAATTGAAATCAGGGTCCCAAAGTTAGAGAAAGCTATGAATTTATAAAATTAGAGCATTCTTGTTGGACGACAGTGATAGTTATAGAAGCCTGTTTCTTTAAATACACATTAGCCAGAGCAAGAAAAAAATACATACATTAAAAAAATCAGTCCGTCACAGTTCCAGGAACAGGTTTTTTAAACAATTATTCTGGGCGGTAGAAGATCTCTAGATTTACAGAATGACAGCTTTATATCTCTGGCAACCCAAGTCAGTTTGGCTGTTTCAATAGCAAATATTTATTTAAATGAATTCTTTCACTATATATGTACTTTCTACATCTACTCATCAAAAGCATCCTAAACTTATTGTGAAGGGACCTGGCTTCTTATATGGCTGTGACAGACCTCAACGTGACACATAATGGTATGTATCCACCATCATGGCAAATTTTTTTTTTTTTTTTTTTTGCTTACCCATCATATCTTTTGCCTTCTTGAAATGTTTATACCACCTTCCAAATTCCTGACATTTTGCTGCTGAGACATTTGCATAGTAAGTGCTGTTCACAATGGAAGAAATCATACTCTGTGTGAAAAGGGGAGAAGAAAAAAAAAAATCTGTAATACAGAGCAGTACAAGTCAAATCACAAACTATTTCAATTGTTGAAACCATTATATTTTTAGAGTTTGAGAACCATATCACATTTTTAATCCTGTCATCCCAAGCCTTTTAAAAAACTCATTAATTGAGCATAAAAACAATCCAAGGTATATTGTAAATGGGAGCAAAAAAACCAAGGGAAGAACAAAGTTATCGACCAAGAAATGTCAGGCAATGGGATGGGCTCTGGAAGGAAGATGCTGATCTTGAAAGTGCATTTTGTTGGTACTATTTCTGCTTTTAAATTTGATTGACCCTTCACGTACCCATACAAGTTTACAAGCGTACAAATCCTACACTGACTCCAAAAATGCAAACAATGCCCCAAGCTACCCATGCCTATTCCTTTTGTGCCACTTATCACAGGGCAGACCCCAGAAAATTGTAGATGAAAGTTTATCTGAATGACCTGTTAGTAGGATGAAATAAGGGGGTTTATAGTAGAATAAAATATGTACGTAGCAACCCAAAAAGAACCCAGACTTGCTTTTCGTAAACGGGGTATTTTAAGTGATTCGCAGAAACGGGCTCATGAAAAGCTCTTATTCCCATGTCTAATTCTGTAACTGAATATTAGCTGTAAAATAGGCCAAAGGATGATAGAGACGATTTTTTCTCAAAGGTTCTCGAGATATCAGATAGCTACAGTGAGAAATTTACCTTCTGCTCAGTTTTGACCAATTTTAAAATAGTGGAATTTACAATGCATGAAACTTTCAGTTCCAGTACGTTCTTTTACAAAATCAATTAAGACTAAGCCTTGCAAAATGAGATAATGCTCCAACTTGAAAATTATACTCAGTATATGATGTATGAACAACAAAATTAGCAAATGTAATTTCAATAGACTGAACTTTGCTACCCTTTAGATTTCTATGTGGAAAGGAGTTACTTTTAGCTTAACTACAGGAATTGTCCAGTGTATTGAGAAAATGACAGTCAAGAAGACAAAGCCCTGATTATTATGTTTCTTTGCTATTCAGCATGTAACTTTTAGTTATATCTGTGCTGTCGCAAAATCAATGTACAGCACCAACCCTTTGTTACACAAACTGCAATAACCACTAGAAGAAAGGGTTTGGAGTAAAAATGCAATAAATAGTACTGTAAGTCATCTTTTATAAGGCTAGTTCAGCTTCTGAGTAAAAGCACCTTGATTATTGATCTTAGTGAAGTTTATTATAACCATTTTCTAACGTATTACTCAGTAACATGCTATTTGTGGAGGCTCAGAACTGCTAGAATGAGGCAGTATTATTTATGCCAAATGTGGATACCCTCTACTCACCAGGCAGCTATTTTAATGTTTCTCTGAATCACCAAAATTTTTACCATTCCTTGATATTAATCTGGCATTTCCAAAATTAGCTAGGAGCCTTTTGTCAGTGCTATAAAAGGAGAATGAAATCTTAAAAGACTACTGCAACTCTAGCCTGAATGACCTGAAGCAAGCTCAGCTGAACCCAATTTCAATTTCCAATATAATAGCACTATCATTAATGTCTAATACTTACAAAATAATTGTTTAAGCTCTTTTACAGATTAAACCATTTTAAACATGGGCACATGATACATAAGGTGTGATTTAAAAAGTCCTTTGAATCTGAACTGGTGAATTATATGAACGCACAGTTACTGTACATGCAAAACCTGCAGATGCATGTGCAAAATGGAGAACCGCACATGCAATGGGCCACCATCTCATACTAGCTTGTGTGTATTTTGTGGATGTCATTCAGCCTTCAAAGTGGTCTTCTCCCATTTTACTCTGCCCCTTTCAGATGTCTTCTGCCCAAATAACTTTAGTAAGTATGAAAACATGTATATTAATAACAATTTTAGTAAGTTACCTATTGTTGATGAAGATATTTGTCTAGGATTTCCTAGTCCTCCCTTCCATGTCATTTTACAAAGAAGATATGCCAGTGACAGTTTGTGACATCCCCTGCTTCTTCAGGAATAAATTTAATGCCATTACTTTATTTTACAGCCAAATAGGGAACTGGTCTGTTTAAATAACACTGCTAGGAATTTTAGCTTCTTTGACACAATGTGAATTTCAGGCTCCGATGGCTAATATTTGGATTTTACTCCAGCTCTTCAAAGTAGATAAAAAAAAAAAAAACCCACAGACATTATCAACACATTTTAAAATGAAAATTATCCTGCTTTTTCTTCGAGAACACTTCATACAAACATTCAAGTGATATTACCTACGCTAAGAATCCTCATCAGGAGGAATCAATGATTTATTTACTAATTCACTGAAGGCAAAATTTTACAAGCCAGATAAAATATTACTACCTTGTTAACTCAGAAAATAACTTGACAACATTGAATTTCATTGTTTCTATGCTTTATTTATTATATTGTCATCAAACCTGCAGTCACGTCAGTGCAGAAAAACGCACTTTGCTGTAGAAACTCCTATATAATTCCTATTGCTGTAGATTTCCTGCATGTTTTAATGGCAATCTGCATATACGAATGCCCATTATGCTTAGGGCCTAAAACAGAAGAGTAACCCTATGAGTTAGTGGTCTTCAGAGATCTACAATCTAGCCTGGAGGCACACTTAAGTTTTTCTTATTTCCCAGGTCACTACACGTGCGGAGCTCCCCATGTCTTGGCTTATACTTATCAATAATCAAAATGAAAATTATTGTATTTGAAGCACGTCATGTTCAGGTACTACTGTACATAGGCATTCCTTATCTGTGAAGCACAGAGGCAGATGCTTTCCTTGTACAAAGATGACAAATATAAATATATCACACAAATATTCAAATGCATCATATTCATCACTCAATCTGATTTCTTTTTCACAAGTCAAAAAGAAAATTGATAGAACACAAAAACTGGTCACAGATCCGCAGTCTTAACGTATCTCCTAGAAGTTTATCCTTGAAAGTAAGTTGCGAGACTTCAAGATCCCAAATTTCCCTCTTTCCACTCTCTCCATGCCTCCCCACCCCCAACCACATCCCTTGTAGTCCTGTTCTGAGAATCAGGAGATCTCATCTGAAATGGTGCCACCTTCACAGAAATCCCACTATTCTGGAATGATACCATCTGCTGCAGCCCAAGTGCTCTTTTTTAAGCCAAATAAGTTAATTATAATTAGGCACCCAACAACTGTGTGGAGGTAGGGGTAGAATTCGTTCTGAAGTTGAGCTGAGGTTCACCCGGTGTAGTTTGAACCAAATCCCATTCTCTCAGGAAGATTAAATACCAGAGATTTGAAAAACAGACGCCATCATTTCTCAAAGAAGTTGGGGAACTCCCTGGGGAAATATCCTCAGTCTCAACCAGAACCCTTTTCAGATGCCCATCAAATAAAATCCAGCAAAATGGTAGAATCAGACGCCTTTCGTGTTGTGCCAGAATCTAATGCAAGGTGCATCCTGCAAGACACAGGAAGGACCCAAGCCTTTCGTGCCGGCTGGTCCTGCAGGCACCGCCGCAAGTGCTACCGCCGCAGGTGCTACCAGGGAAGCATTTCTGAGTCATTGGCTCTAACGCTGATCTCCAACCAGGTGAAGTATTGTTCGATCATCGCTAAAAGTATACTGTTGTCCTTTTTGCAAAACAACAAAAACAATGTTAATCAGGTTAATTCAATCATCTAAACCAAAACTGTTCATGCTTTTCTGCCAAATCAACCAACCACAGCAAAATCTGTTATCAGTGATTGCTCAGCTTCCAGTCAAAAAAGCTTTTAACCCCCACAGTCCCAAAACTTCCCCTAAATAACCTTAAAATTATTTTTATATGGGCAGAATGAGGTTGTTTTCATGCGTCATGAAGGGGTAGTTGGGCTGCAGTATTTACACAGAACAAATACATGCTAACAGACTTAGCAGAGAGTAACAGACACAGCAGCTTCCTAAAACAACTCGGCTGAATGAGATATTGGGGATTCCTTTGCAAATGAAACATTTCCCTCAAAAGAAGCACTGTAACCAAAACTTATTTAGGCTTTCCAGGTTGTTTAACTAGGAAAAAAAAAAAAAAAATCCAAGCTTTTTTGCAACCCATTCATCAGTGTTTAAAGCTTCAAGCTTGCTCAGTGGAAGGGGCAAGGGCTGCAACAACTTATTTACACAATTATCTAAATACGATTAAACAGCTGATGGACAAATATTAAACTGGAAAATGTATAGTCATTTCAGCTTAATGTAATCCTCTTTCTGTAAACACCCAAGATGATTTTTTTTCAACCAGAACAGTCCTGACATCTCATAAGCCTAAGGGTGAATAGCAAGAGATTGTTTTTGATAGTTATAAATATTCAAAAGACATGCAGACCATCTGCTTTCATAATACAGGTAAAGCAAGACTGAAATGGTGACTGCTGTATAAAAATGGTTCTTTTAACAAAGTCTTCCTCTCCTCGAAAACTATAAAGACAGATGTCAAAAACTGTTTACACAGGGTAATCAGGAGCGTGCAAAATGTAATATTCCTTTTACACACAGTGCTTGCTAAAGAGATTTTTTTTTTCTTTTTCTTCCCATCTGTGTGTTGCAACACATTTCTACAAGTTAAAAACATTTTTTCAAACAGAGATCTCATGAATACCCAAAAACATGCTATCTGGTTTCTGAATGCTAATTAATTTCAACTAAGGAATCTGATTTTTTTTCTGTAGGAAGGAATGCATGCTTTTGAAATGGAGTACTTCAACAATAACAGACACTGAAAACAGAACACCCCACAAGTTTAATTTTGCACTAGTTTGACACTGGCTATTTCCACAACTGTTTTACATTCAAACCCGCATCTGCTAAATCTGGCTATAAGACAGAAAGGAACTATTCTCCCGCTTTTCAAATGAGATTTTATTTATGTTTTACTATTTATCAAGTTTTTCAGTATAAAGCCTTGTAGCAACATTACGGTTTTGTCAAGCGGTAAGTAGAAG